AGCGTATGAGCGTATTTATCGTATCAATTCTAAATGAAAAAGGACGAAATAGAAATATGCGAATTCGAAATGCATTTGAATAAATTTTTGGTTTATGTTCTAATCTAAGTAATCATGACATAATTTCTGCCTAAAGTTCAGGTCTGAAAACGGGTATAGATTTTAAAGGTCTGGTCTGAAAACGTGCGGGGAAAATGACATTTTTGGTCTGAAATAGGGTGAGGATTTAGAGAACTTGGCGGCACACCCCCACCAAGAATTCCCAGGAGTACCCCACGGGAGATAGTACATGTAAGTTATATTTCTCAGTTACGTGACACTAGATAGATAAGATGGGCCACTCCCGCTAGGGCGTCCGTATCCGAATGCACAGTAATCTCTAACTTGTAAATTTAACTTCAAGACTTTTAAATGAAAAAAAAAGGTTCTAATATAATTCTCCAGCCCGAAAATCTTCACTTATGGCACTTTCAGTTTCTTTTTGAGGCAGTGGCAGTGGCCCCTCTTCTTGCTTTTGTTGGCCCATTTTCTGGCGAACTATGTTAAGAACTGCTCAACTGTCGCAAAAAATTCAGAACGATTTTGCAATTACATGTACATTGTAGGCAAAGTATCACTAATTCACTTTGTTTGAAATCATTGGTCAACAACCCTCCGGAGCCTGTGGGGAGGTGCAAGGTGATTTGATGCACCCCCTGCTCCTAGGTCCTACAGAATTCCCCATAGTTTTTACTTTGATTAACTTAAGAGTCATCTTCGCAAACATAGGTCATATGGTTTTCATAATGTTGAAGAAGAAGAGCCTCACTACTCATCTCCTCTTGACAAATCCAGCAGCTGTAATTCTCAAAGATGACCAATTGTGCATCTGGTAGATCAGTGTTTCCAGTCTCTCTCAGTGTTTGAAGGTTGTTTGTAAAACCTATGGCTCTGCTAACATTAACGTTTTTACCTCCCACTCTCTTCCGCTTGCAAGATTCCAAACGTTTAGACAGACTTTTGTTTTTCTGAGAACATTCACGTGACTCAGTTACAAGAGTGTGGATTCTCTCATGCTTCCTCAGGCCTCTTGCTTCCCTAAAACACTTGCTACACTGTTTACATTCATACGGCTTTTCCCCAGTGTGAGCTCTTTCATGATTCCTCAGGGATCTTGCTTCGCTAAAACACTTGCCACACTGTTTACATTCATAAGGCTTTTCCCCAGTGTGAGCTCTTTCATGATTCCTCAGGGATCTTGCTTCGCTAAAACACTTGCCACACTGTTTACATTCATAAGGCTTTTCCCCAGTGTGAACTCTTTCATGTCTCCTTAAGTCTCCTAGTTGGCTAACACACTTGCCACACTGTTTACATTCGTAAGGCTTTTCCCCAGTGTGAACTCTTTCATGAGTCCTTAGGGTTCCTGCGCGGCTAAAACACTTGCCACATTGTTTACATTCATAAGGCTTTTCCCCAGTGTGAACTTTTTCATGCTCCCTTAGGTGTCCTGCTCGGCTAAAACACTGGCCACACTGTTTACATTCGTAAGGCTTTTTCCCAGAGTGAACTCTTTCATGCCTTGTTAGGGTTACTGGTTGACTAAAACACTTGCCACACTGTTTACATTCATAAGGCTTTTCCCCAGTGTGAACTCTTTCATGAATCCTTAAGTGTCCTGCATTTCTAAAACACTTGCCACACCGTTTACATTTGTAAGGCTTTTCCCCAGTGTGAACTCTTTCATGAGTCCTTAGGTGTCCTCCTTGGCCAAAACACTTCCCACACTGTTTACATTCATAAGGCTTTTCCCCACTGTGAACTCTTTCATGAGTCCTTAGGTTTCCTGCTTTGCTAAAACACTTGCCACACTGTTTACATGCGTACTGCTTTTCCCCAGTGTGAACTCTTTTATGAATCCTTAGGGTTCCTGCCTGGCTAAAACACTTGCCACACTGTTTACATTCATAAGGCTTTTGCCCATTGTGAACTCTTTCATGCTCCCTTAGGTTTTCTGCTAGACTAAAGCACTTGCTGCACTGCAGGCACTTAAAGGACATTGAGTTTGCTCTTCTTGTAACGTGTTATAGTTACGGTACCCTTTAGCAGGAAAAAGAAACATTCTCAGGTAAATGCACAATGATATTTTGTTTTGGTGCCCCAAATTTGTAGCCAGGGGGTGCGAGATCTTAAGGTTGTTAGGAAGATGTGGAACATTAGAAAACTTTAAAGATACCTGCCCATGAAAAAGTGGTTCTAGACCAGCCTCATTCCCAGTTGTCCTCGGCGATTTCGGATGTGACGTCACCTGTCAAGCTTGTTGGGAAAATTCGGTTCCAAGTCTCCTCTGATACTCAGATAGCGAAAACTGGCCTGGGTACGAGGCTGGTTCTAGACCTTTCATAAACTGACTACATACCTACATGTACAACTTTACATGACTCATTTAACATGGAGAATCCATCAACAGGGTTAATTTAATCATTTGTTGACTTTGTATTTGGATCGGAAACTTCCCTGTTGTTTGTAAAATAGCACGCATTTATAAATAGTAATTAAGGCTCATCATGCAGCTTTAATACAGAAAATAGTGGAACCCGTATTACTGTAAATCCCCTATAAAGCTCCCTGGGGTCTTATCTTTTAAGCATGTTCAACAGAGAGTAAGGATTATGTTGTAGTTAATTTTTTATCTTACGTAATTTTTATTTTTCTTTTGTTTAAACTTCATTAGCATACATTAACATACCCAAATACAAAAGAAAAAGAAAAATTACCTGAGATAAAAAATTAACTACAACAATTATTTAAGAGGGAGGGTTATTTCATTTAGTGAAATGCATTACCAAAACCAAAAAATAAAAAGAAGAGGAAGAAGCAGACTAAAGAAACGGTTGCCTTTCGCCGATCAACAGCATCATCCGGGGTAAGAACACAGTTTTCTGCATCATGAAAAAATTGGTTTAAAGCAAAATGTGTGAAAAGCATAAGAATGGGGCGGAATGTACCAGAGGTATAAAAATAAAAACTTCAGCAAGTGTCACTCTCGAAAGGCATAACAATAGTCTTTAAAAAAATATGTCCTCAAACTCGTTGCATTCCTCATGTTAGTTTAGGCCTGTCTTAAAGTAAACCGATCTGCAAAAAAACATGCTGGTTGACAAAATCCCTCAAAAGACAAAAATAGATTCTAAAAAACAAAAGGTCCACAAAGGTGTTGCAATCCTCATGGAAGGTGAGGGACTGTGAGGACTAGCTCAATGTAAATTGAACTGCGAAGAACACGTTGGTTCTGATAAAAGTTTTGAGAGTATAAGCCTATTCACTGAACAGCTACCGCTTCAAATTCAATTCACAAAGGAAAAAAAAAACACTGAAAACGAGCTGCATGGAATAACCTGGCTTCGACAAAAATTTGAGCTTACAACCCTATTCTTTGATCAGCTGTTGCTTTAAATGTAAATTCAGATTTTAGAAGGTTACACAGAATTATGAATGCAGCACAGGCAACCTTGCTTCTTAGCTTGGTTGCCTTGTGAGCAATAACACACATTTACAATATTGGTCATTACGGTTTATCATGCAGCTTTAAATGTGGCAATATAGTGGAACCTGTATTACCATAAATCCTCTACAAAGCTCCCTGGGGGCTTATTTTTTAAGCATGTTTAACAGACAGGGAGGATTATTTGATAGGGAGGTTACTTAATTTAGTGAAATGCATTACCAAAAGCAAAGAAGAGGGAGAGGAAGAAGCAGACTTAAGTAACGGTTCCCTACTTCCTGTTCTGAAACTGGAACAAACAAACATCAAACAAACAGCAGCCAACAGATCATATGAATTCTGTATAAAGCGAGTGGAATGCAAATTGGAAACACTCAAGCACATGATTTAAGATGGAGGTTATGCAGTTGAAGATTAAAAGCAAATCACAACTTCTAGCACATGAATAAGTTATACCAGATCAGCAGTGATTTTGCTACAAATAGTTATGGTACAGTGCATGTCCTGGGACTGATCTTGTGGAAAATCATGAGTCCCAGTCCAAAACACAATGAGATCTAGGGGACGATTTTATGGGAATGACCGGGTCAGGAAAAAACCGAACAGACCTTGAAGATTTTTCTTTCTGTGGTGACGAGCTTTGTGTGTTTTTCTTGAACAAAGAGATCAGGCTTTAAAAAGATATCAACTTTAGCTAAAACTGTGGTAGAAATGCGACAGTTATTTGGTGACACAACCCATGGAAACTGTATTGGTATTGAAATACACCCAATAAATTGCGGTACAGGGAGAGAGTAGATGATACGCTAGTGTTAAAGGATTTCTCAAACTGCTCTCCCTGCTCTCCCTGATAAGGACTAATCTTAAGGAACACCAATCTGCGACTCAGAATAGGAAATCATGTGTCCCTGGAAGTGCAAACATTAAAAAAATTCTACAATTCATTAATGCCCATTACAAAATTGGTCAGCTCTTTATGGAGTACTTGTATGGTGACTGCTCTACCGTGCGTGATCACTGAATGTTGTTCGTTTTGTTCCAACAAAGGATGGACAAGTCCTGTGCCCATGAAACATCTTCCCCAGCCTCTGCCAGATCCTGAAAATCCCACCCATTTTAAATCGGTCAATGAGACACCAACTACCACAGAAAAGGGCAACCTCGAGTGCCAGATGAATTTCAACCACATGTGAACATAAAGAAAATGTTTAGTGCAGGCATGTTATCAACGGAACAAGAGATGCAGCAGTTTTCAGAGAATTTTGCCGTGCAGACGCACTTGATCAAGACATATTGCTAATCTAGAAGATCTCAAAAAACAAAGCGGCATTTTTAAGAGAACAAGGGGGCGCACAGAACAAAAGCGTAAATTGATGTCCAAAACATTTTAAGAATATGCCTGCGACCATCTTGTGGAGTCTGGAGATTCACAAAAGTTGCTCGTGTTGAGCTCAATAAATATCTTAAACATTACAAACTCATAAGCAGTGGCACAAAAGCTGAAAAGAGCAGGTGAATGTTGTTGTGTGTGCTTCATGGGGAGGATGGTCAACAGGAAGATATAAATGAGGCTACTGACGAGGAAGCAAAGGAAGGTGGAACAGAAGACGACAGTGAAGAAATTGACAGCTCAGAGGACGATGAAAGTGAGGAGGATAATGTCCTTGGAGAATTGTCAAGTGGGCCTGACTCAGAACAAGATGCAACTTCTGGCGAACAGGACTGTTATAGCATCGATGAAAGTGATAAGATATGGTTTGTCTTTCAAAGCAATTCAGAGGAAGAGGATTTTTATGGTTTTGGCTGAGTTTGCAAACAGTTGATGTTCTTAAAATTTGATGCAGGTCGCTATAAAAGAATCTAATAAATCAATGTAGTATAATATAATTATAAATTTGTTGTTTACATTAGTTACCAGTCTTTCCATGTCTCGCTGATACAAAAGAGACCTGGAACAAAGTATTGAATGTCCTCTCAAATCGTCTCATGAACATGTTCTCAATACACTGTAAACACAGGTTTGTAGATACTCATTCCTTTAAAAAAATGTCGAATACTTTCAAGGAAAACTTTAACTTCACAAGAAGTTCTGTTTGGAGAGGTAGGAAAACTTCAAAGGTTCTTCCAAGTCATTGTATTTGATGTGAACATCCGAATATACACTGTTTGCTCTAGTTGTAAGTAAACATTCCATGATTTTCCCAAGCTACTCACTTCAAATCACTGTCAAATCAAACAGGCTTTGGAAAATTTGACCCCAAATGAACGGACTACGAAAAAAATACTGTGCTTTTTGGGAAAGCTTTAGAAAGAAAGAGGAAAGCTTCTACTTTTTTCCCAACCCGGTCATCTTTATAAATAATGAACCATCCCTAAATTGAAAATGCTTTGGCCTTTATGTAACCAGGGAGTTAATCTGAAGACAGACTCCAAACCTCTATATTACAGTTCACTGAAATAAAAATATACTCCTTTTATTTTAAAGCATAGCAAAGACTAAAAGAAATTTACTACGTGTCTTTAACAACAACCACAGAAATTACCCAAACAGGATATTCTAGAAAAACATCTTCATATCACTTGACCAATCTTTGTGTCCTATGGGATGCATACCATGAATTATTTTGTATCTTTGGGGGTTTTTATGCTTAAGGGAATTGGATTTGTTAACATCAAGTGTCACAGTTTGATTTATTAATACAACCTTTCAGTTATTCATTTGGTCCAAACAATAATTAACAATTATTCCTCAAGCCTCAGGGACCGCGGAGGGGGAGGGGCTGGTAGGGCCGCGGCCCCACCACTTTTTTGCGCCCCCGCCCCCACTTTTTGCGCTAAAGGAAAAATAATTAAATTAAAAAAAAAAAGACTTGAAACAAGTTTTTTCCGTCCATATTCCGCTATATTCTCTGTATTTTCTTTAATTTCAAACGCCAGGCATTTTGTGGAGCTCCTGTGCTTTTCGCAGTAATTGTTCCCTTGGGCCGACTTGCCCGTTGATTAAACACCATGACTTGGCCACCCCTTCGCTTCGTTCGGCAGCGTGTTTTGTACTTTCAGCTTCAGCAGAGTTTTTTATCAGTTTTATCAAACGAAATGAAGAGAATTACTAGCTTTTTCAAGCCAAACGAAGGTGAGTAGTTGTTTTGAGTTGATAAAAGTTTTATATTTTTTCTTTCTCCTTTCGAATCAATGAAATATTCGATGGCAAGAAGAATTACATTACTTGAACAGTGAAGGGCCATAGTTAGAAATTTTTCAGATCACGTCAGTGTAGTATTTTCTATACTAAAATTGTAATCCCGTCTTTTCTTTCATTGAATCTGATTTGACCGTGTATGTTGGTCGTTTATTAGAGTTATCTGGGACTTCGTCAAAGTCTGTAAGCTGTGTAGAAAAGACGACAACTACTTGCAGTGAAAATGATGAGTTTGAGTTTGACCAGTAAACATACAAATACTATGATTTTTTTCCTTTTATTCCTTTTTTCGATTTTCAATATGAAAAAAATATTTCCAATTGTCAGCCCTCCCACTTTTCACCTTGCTCCGCGGTCCCTGAGCCTAAATGGGCTCTGAGTCAATAGACCATGAGGTCAAAGGCCATATGGGCTATTGACTCAAAGGCCATGAGAGCAAGAGGAATAATTGTTTTAATAAAATCCAACCATTTGGTCAAATGCTTTCACAATTGTGTACGTGAATAAGAAAGCCCTTAATTAAGAAATCAAGCAAGATAAATAATGTGGACATTGAATTGAACAACAAAGTAAACAACACTCTTATTGAATTCAATTATTTTCGTCCAAATTGCTTAGATACAAGTAGACTACTATCCGTGACGAGCAAGGAGAGACGGCTGTATTCAAAGGCAGAGATAATACGAGACAACACTCGACGTCCGTGTTAGTTGTAGAACTGTCAAGGACTGGAATGCGTTACCAAGCAAAATTGTCTTATTTGAGTATTTGAGTCAATGATGAATTTTTAATATTAAAGTACATCAATGATTGATGCTGTGGAATTTTTATCCATTTTATCTTTTGTAGAAAATTTTTCACCGTCATTGCTTTTAACTTTATTTCATTTTATTCAGTTCGGCGTCTTGGGTGATGGCAACCCTGTTGCAAGACTACAGATTTTTGAATAAAGGTAACCCGAAAGGTCATTTACATGCAATAGTAAATCATGAAAAGATAAGTTTAAAGCTTATTGAAGCCTTCAGATACCAAACAACTTAATAAGCTTGGAAACATAAAAAAATTTTAAAAACAGTAGATAGATATTCGTATCTGGGAAACCAAGTTCAGGTTCGTTGTTATTAGGACCTGATGGCCCCACATGGTAGGACTCGGGATCATCTGTGTGTGTTCTCATCCGAGTACTAAGCTAGCCGCTGTCAGTTGACTTTCACGACTGAATATATCCATAATGTATTGAAAACTTTCTTACCTTTAGTAACAAGACTTTGTCGCTTTGATCAAATCACACGAGGGAAGATAAAACCAAGAACTGAAGGATTCATAAATCACGTTCAGATGGCGGCCACTTTGATTTTCACACAACCTCGTCCCCAGGGTCTTCTCGCTTTCCTGTCGCCGCCATATTGGAAAGCGAGAAGACCCTGGGGACACCCTGGGGACAAGGTTGAGGGTAATAAATCCGTGTTAAACTCGTGTGGAGTGGGGACCTAAGCTAGATAAGTGTGGGCCCGGGTGACGGGTTTTCCTTTTTTTGTTTGTTTAGTGATCAGTTTCTAACTGGAATGCGTTACCAAGCGAAATTGTTAACATTAAGTCCATATTTTACAATAATTTATGCTATGATGTTATTATCCATTTTATCTTTTGTAGGAGATTTTGTAACTGCTATAAATCTCCGGCATCTCCAGTGTGGGCCGCGTTACCCCTCTGTCTGGTTCAATTGGTGGAAAGCGTGCAGACGTCTGCGCTAAGAATAATTTTTCCAGATTGCTCTTATGAGTCGGCACTCGTGCGCTATGGCTTGCCTACACTTTTGTCGCGCCGTGATGAGGCTTGCAGGCGTTTTATATCTAACGTCAAGGAGTCCGGGTTCCTTTCACACCTGCTGCCGCAGCCCACGAATGTCGCTCATGGGTACAGGTTGAGGTCGGGTTTTTCTCGTTCTGAATTCCGCTTTGTCAGAACGGACCGCCTTAGTAATTTTGTTACTCACAGTTACAATAGGATTTAATTGTTTTTGCCTTCTGTGCCATGTGTAATTATGTGTTCTGCGTATTCTTGACCTCCCTTGTAATTTAGTGTTATACACTACCAAAAGGGTTTAATAAACTGATTATTAAATATTTTAAACTTTATTTCATTTTATTTAGCTAGACGTCTTCAGTGATGGCACCTCTATTGCAAGACTATATTTTTTTTAATAAAGGCTAAGAAACTGGATGACTTTACTTTCAACACTTTTACTTTTAGTTATCCTCTCTTTCATGCACGAGTAAATCATTTTCCAAATATATGAACGATTCACGCAAAGATGGGGGTGAGAAAATATAAAATATCACCAAGTCCAAGCAACAAATCGTTGAATGGTGCCGGATCTCTTAGTTGTAGACCTGTAACTTGTACTGTGTACAAAATCATAAACACGGCAAACTGATCCTTAAAACAAAAAATATATATATTGAAATATATTTGTCTATATATTCTTCGTTTTATTCTTTTGTTTACTTCCTCATTGCCGTTTTATAATTTTATACAAGTGATTGGGGTGGTCATTGGGGTGGGAGGGGTTCGTAACCTCCGCCCAAAGCGAGGAAAAGGAACGAGCGCGCGCGGGATTGACTTCTGATACTTCCCTGGCCTTCGACGGAAACGCATTTTCGGTACGTTCAAGGTTATGCTTTGATTCGAAAATTCTGTTGAATACTATAGTTTATAACACTGTTTCTTACTGATTTTTCAGTGCCGTAGCATGGGAAGGGGCCGGGGGGCCTGGGACCCCCCAATAATTTTGACAGGCACGTTTAATTTGGTCAGCGGCCACGCTCTTCACGCTGCTCTTCGGTTCAATATGTTCATTTCAGTTCGATAAAGACTGAAATTTATTTATTTATGGCTTCAACAAAGAAAAATGAAGCGGGTATTAAACAAAGTACACTTCTTAAATGGGAACGAAATAAATGCTCTCAGAAGGCCTAAAATGCTATTTCAGAGGCCCTGCATATTTAAAAATCTTTGCATTAGTAGTGTCTCCGAGTAAGACGTTATAAGGGACCTTTATTTTTAAATAAGTGACCCACGCCTTCCAAAACATGTCCACAGATATCTCAAACAAGGCAGAAATCTGGCCTGCGACAGGAGCTCATTAGAACGGTCTTGGCGCGAATTTAGAATACCGTAAAATTCCGAAAATAAGCCCCTTCATGTATAAGCCCCTCCAAATACAAGCCCCCAAAACTCGTTCGTTAAATCGCCCTCCAAATATAGGACCCCGGAGGCTTGTACTTGGAAATTGCCCTCAAATTCAAAATAAAGCTAAGCAAAAACTGTACAGTAACACAAAAATTTTTGCATTTGCCAAAGAACTATTACGTGTGCCAAATGATTGCAGTCAAAATGTGTCACACTATATTGCTGTTTGCATAGTTCTCTCTTTAACTCTTGGCTTGGATTTCCTAGTTCCATATAGACAAAGTACTCGCATGGCTTAGTTTCAGTAAGATCTACGTTCTCAAGGCTAGTTTCAGTAAAAACTTTCTGCAAATTACTGATAAAGTTTGCTTCCAACCATGAGCTAGCCCAATTGATTTTGAGACGTAAATTTCGCTCCCAGTATAAGCCTGGCCGATTTTGAAACGCAAATTTCCCTCCGTAGATAAGCCCCTCCACAAATATGCCCCTCAAAAGAGGCTTTTGAAAAATATAAGCCCCGGGGCTTATTTTCGGAATTTTACGGTATCTTTAAAGTCACACAAACCAGTCAGGAAAACATACAGCCATAAAAATAATAACTTTTGCCTCTTAATGGCGTTACGTTTTCCTTTTTGATAGCTTATACTTCGAATGCGTTCATGGACGTGGCGGAGATTCCATTTTCGAGGGAAAAATTGTCTTAAACTGTGTCTACAGATAAACCGGTCAGTAAAAACACCGTGACATAGGCCTAATATGGGGTTTGCACGCTCCGGGTTATGGGCTCCTACCTGCGATCAAGCTCTCCTGTTTGCGCGAACGAAGCGAGCCGCGAGGGGCCATACCCCTCCTTCGCATCTCCTCTCGCGTGCCTCACGCGCGTCTACTTTTCACGAAATCCCCAAATGAGCTTGCTCTCAGGCTAATCGGTAATCTCTTAAATGAATCGCTTACATGCACTCAAAGCCGGTAATGACATTGCTCTTAGAAATTTACGAGGCTATAAAATGTACAACCTATACTTTCTATCAGTAGTTTTCATTATAAAATGCAGCAAAAAAGTCAGTTACTTAGCGAGCAGTTCAGTTCTCCACTACTACTTGCAGTAGCCTGCGAAGAAGGTAGTTGTTGGGTGTGTTTTTCGTTCCTGGTTGAGATACAGCGGCGCGAAAGATCTGAGGCCAGAGATGTCGAATGAGGCAGGAGGTTATTCTAAAACATTATCCTCAGCCACGCCCGTACCCAGCTTTTTTTCTGTGAAAGTGCGTTCCAACGAGAAGACGGACCAAAACGACTGTACGTGCACTTGTTTCTTGGAGGGGAGGGGGCGTTGGGACAACTAGATTTTCTGAGAGTACATTGCGAGCGTTTTGAGGGCAGGCAGTATTAAGAAAAATTGAAACGTGGACAATTTGCAAAATATTGGACCTTCAAAGTTGATCATATGGCAAATAGACTACTTTATAATGGCACCACAATTTCCAAAGTAAAATTGAAAGAAAGTGGTACATCTGTTTATTCACAAAGTTTGCTGCTGATCATAATGATCTTTCAGTAGTGTTCCAAGTTGGGGGCTTCTTAGCAAACAGATGAACGATGCAGTAAAAGGTATGTTAGAAAGTACCCGGGAGGGGGGGGAAAAACCGCTTATATAAGCCATATAGCTATGTGCCGCCCCAAAGGGTATGGTTTCTGGACCTGTTTCCTCTGAAAACGGGTGTAAGGTTTTCTCTGGAATCGAGTATGGTTTTCGAGCGAACAATGGGAGCGTATAAACGTATTTTTCGTATCAATTTCAAATGAAAGAGAAAAAATAGAAATATACGAATTCGAAATGCATTTGAATAAATTTTTTGTTTACGCTCTGATCTAATGAACCATGACATAATTTCTGCCTAAAGGCAAGGTCTGAAACGGGTATGGATTTTAAAGTTCTGGTCTGAAAACGGGTGTAAAATGACATTTTTGGTCTGAAAATAGTGTCAGGATTTAGAGAACTGGGCGCCACAACAACAATTGCTAAGAGTACCCCCAAGGGATAGTACATGTAAGTTACATTTCTCTAGCTACGTGACACTAGATAGATGAGATGGGCCACTCCCGCTATGACGTCCGTGTCCAAATGCCCAGTAATCTCTAACTTGTTAATTTACCTTTAAGATTTTCAAATGAAAAAACCTCGGTTCTTATATAATTCTGCAGCCAAAATATTCACTAATGGCACTTTCAGTTTCTTTTCGAGGCAATTTTAGAACAGAGTTATTCATGGATTGATACAATCTGCAGTGGCCTCTCTTCTTGCTTTCTTCAGCCCATTTTCTGGTGAACTATTTTAAGAACTGCTCAACCGTGGCAAAAACTTCAGAACGATTTCGCAATTACATAAACATTGTAGGCAAAGTGTCACTAATTCACTTTGTTTGAAATCATTGGTCAACAACTCTCCGGAGCCTGTGGGAAGGTGCAAGGTAATTTGATGCATCCCCTCCTCCTAGAGCCTACAGAATTCCCCATAGTTTTTGGTTTGATTAACTTAAGAGTCATCTTCACAAACATGGGTCATGTGGTTTTCATAATGCTGAACGAGAAGAGCCTCACTACTCATCTCCTCTTGACAAATCCAGCAGCTGTAATTCTCCAAGATGACAAATTGTGCATCTGCTACATCAGCGTTTCCAGTCTCCCTCTGTATTTGAAGGTTGTTTGTAAAGCCTATGCCTCTGCTAACATAAACGTTTTTACCTTCCGCTCTCTTCCGCTTGCAAGATTCCAAACGTTTAGACAGACTTCTGTTTTTCCGGGAACATTTACATGACTCACCAAGGGTGTGGATTCTCTCATGCTTCCTCAGGTCTCCTGCTACACTGAAACGCTTGCTACACTGTTTACATTCATAAGGCTTTTCCCCAGTGTGAATTCTTTCATGACTCCTTAGGTGATCTGCTCGCCTAAAACACTTGCCACACTGTTTACATTCATAAGGCTTTCCCTCAGAGTGAACTCTTTCATGCCTTCTTAGGGTTCCTGGATGACTAAAACACTTGCCACACTGTTTACATTCACAAGGCTTTTCCCCAGTGTGAACTTTTTCATGAATCCTTAGGCTTCCTGCTTGGGTAAAACACTTGCCACACTGTTTACATTCATAAGGCTTTTCCCCAGTGTGAACTCTTTTATGAATCCTTAGGTTTCCCGCTTCGCTAAAACACTTGCCACACTGTTTACATTCATAAGGCTTTTCCCCAGCGTGAATACTTTCATGACTCCTTAGGTTTCCTGCTTGGCTAAAACACTTGCCACATTGTTTACATTCGTAAGGCTTTTCCCCAGTGTGAACTCTTTCATGACTTCTTAGGTCTCCTGCTTTACTAAAATACTTGCCACACTGTTTACATTCGTAAGGCTTTTCCCTAGTGTGAATTCTTTCATGACTCCTTAGGTTTCCTGCTTGGCTAAAACACTTGCCACATTGTTTACATTCGTAAGGCTTTTCCCCAGTGTGAACTCTTTCATGACTTCTTAGGTCTCCTGCTTGACTGAAATACTTGCCACACTGTTTACATTCGTAAGGCTTTTCCCCAGTGTGAATTCTTTCATGAATCCTTAGGGTTCCTGCTTGGCTAAAACACTTGCCACACTGTTTACATTCATAAGGCTTTTTCCCAGTGTGAACTGCTTCATGAATCCTTAGGTGTCCTGCTCGGCCAAAACACTTGCCACATTGTTTACATTCATAAGGCTTTTCGCCAGTGTGAACTCTTTCATGAATTCTTAGGTGTCCAGCTTGGCTAAAACACTTGCCACATTGTTTACATTCATAAGGCTTTTCCCCAGTGTGAACTCTTTCATGAATCCTTAGGTGTTCTGCTCGGCCAAAACACTTGCCACATTGTTTACAATCATAAGGCTTTTCCCCAGTGTGAACTCTTTCATGCTCCCTTAGGTTTTCTGCTAGACTAAAGCACTTGCTGCACTGCAGGCACTTAAAGGACATTGCGTTTGTTCTTCTTGAAACGTGTTATAGTTACGGTACCCTTTGGAAGGAAAAAGAAACATTCTCAGGTAAATGCACAATCATATTCTGTTTTGGTGCCCCAACTTTGTAGCAGGGGCTGCAAGATCTGATGGTTGTTAGGGAGATGTGAAAAATTAGAAAACTTTAAAGATACCTGCCTATGAAAAAGTGGTTTTAGACCTGTCATAAACTAACTACATACCTACATGTACAACTTAACATGACCCCTTCAAAATGGAGAATCCTTCAACAGGGTTAATTTAATAATTTGTTGACTTTGTATTTGGATCGGAAACTTCCCTGTTTTTTGTAAAATAACAGGCATTTATAAATGGTAATTAAGGCTCATCATGCAGCTTTAATACAGAAAATAGTGGAACCTGTATTACTGTAAATCCCCTATAAACTCCCTTAGGGCTTATTTTGTTTAAAGGATGTTTAACAGAGAGTAAGGATTATTAATTGAGAGGGAGGGTTATTTAATTTAGTGAAATGCATCACCAAAAGTAAAGGAAAAAAAGAAGAAAAAAAAGCAGGCTAAAGAAATGGTTGCCTTTCGCCGATCAACAGCATCATCTAGGGTGAAAAAACGGTATTCAGCATGGTAATATACATGATGAAAAAATTGGTGTAAAGCAAAATGTGTGAAAAGCGTAATAATAGGGTGGAATGTACCAGAGGTATAAAAATAAAAACGTCAGTGAGTGCTTCTCTCGAAAGGCATAATGATAGTCTTTAAAACAAAATGTACACAAACTCGTTGCATTCCTCACGTTAGGTTAGGCCTGTCTCAATGTAAATCCATCTGAAAAAGAACACGCTGGTTGATAAAATCCCTCGAAAGACAAAAATAAATTCTGGTTCTGATAAACGTTTTGAGAGTATAAGCCTATTCACTGAACAGCTACCACTTCAAACTCAATTTACAAAGGGAAAGAGAACACTGAAAACCAGCTGTAAGGAATAAGCTTGCTCCGACAAAAACTTGAGCTTACAACCCTATTCCTTGATCAGCTGTTGCTTTAATTGTAAAGTATAAAGCAAACCTGAGCACTAATAGCTCTTTCAAACAAGAAATCCTATTAAAGCTTTCTCTCACATTAGATCTCCAGGAGCAGATAATGATCAGTTTTACACTGGATCACTTAATCTCGCACCAAGAGTTGTAAATAAAAGACCATGTCATGATTGCCCAAATATGGGGTCTTACTTACAATCAAATATGGTCAAAAATTCAAATTATAGAGGAAGACACAGAATTATAAATCTGCAGTTGCCTCATTGGCAATAACATACATTTTCAATATTGGTCATTAACGTTATCATGCAGCTTTAAATGTGGCAATAGAAATCCTCTATAAAGCTCCCTGGGGGCTTATGTTTTAAGCATGTTTAACAGACAGGGGGGTTATTTGATAGGAAGGTTACTTAATTTAGTGAAGTGCATTACCAAAAGCAAAGAAGAGGGAGAGGAAGAAGCAGACTTAAGTAATGGTTCCCTACTTCCTGTTCTGGAACTGGAACAAACAAACATCAAACAAACAGACGCCAGAAGATGATATCAATTCTGTATAAAACGAGTGGAATGCAAATTGGAAACACTTAAGCACATGAACTAAGTTGGATGTTAAGCAGTTGAAGATCAAAAACAAATTGCAACTTCTAGCACATGAATAAGTTATACCAGATCAGCAGTGATTTTGTTACAAATAGTTATGGTACAGTGTACATCCTGGGACTCATCTTGTAAGAAATCATGAGTCCCAGTTTAAAAACACAATGAGATCTAAGGGATGGTTCATTATTTATAGGAATGACCAGGTCGGGAAAAAACTGAACAGGCCTTGAAGATTTTTCTTTCTGTGGCAACGGCTTTGTGTTTTTTTTTTTTTTTTGAACAAAGAGATTGGGCTGTAAAAAATATCAACTTATGCTAAAACTGTGGTAGAAACGCGACAGTTATTTGGTGAGACAATACACGGAAACTGTATTGGTATTGAAATACACCCAATAAATTGCGGTACAGGGAGAAAGTAGATGATGTGCCAGTGTTAAAGGATTTCACAACTGCTCTCCCTGCTGAAAAAATCAAAGCTGATAAGGAGTAATCTTAAGGAATACCAATCTGCGACTCAGAATAGGAAATCATGTGCCCCTGGAAGTGCGAACATTAAAAAAATTCTACAATTCACCAATGACCATTACAAAATTGGTGAGCTCTTTGTGGAGTATTTGTATGGTGACTGCTCTACTGTGCATGATCACTGAATGTTGTTCGTTTCGTTCTAACAAAGGATGGACAAGTCCTGTGCCCATGAAACATATTCCCCAGCCTGTGCCAGATCCTGAAAATCCTACCCATTTTAAAGTGGTCAATGAGACACCAACTACCATACAGAAGGGCAACCTCGAGTGCCAGATGATTTTCAACCACGTGTAAAAATAAAGAAAATGTTCAATGCAGGCATGTTATCAATAGAAAAAGAGATGCAGCAGTTTTCAGAGAATTTTGCCGTAGAGATGCACTTGATCAAGACATACATGTTTATTGCTCATCTAGAAGATCTCAAACAACAAAGCGGCATTTTTTAAGAGAGAAAGGGGCAAAAAAACAAAAAGCATAAATTGGCGCCCAAAACATTTAAAGAATATGCCTGGCACCATCTCGTGGAGTCTGGAGATTCACAAAAGTTGCTCGTGTTGAGCTTAATAAATAAAATTATCTTAAACATTACAAACTCATAAGCAACGGCACCAAAGCTGAAAAGATAAGGTGAACATTGTTGCGTGTGCTTCATGGTGAGGATGATCAATGGGAAGATATAAATGAGTCTACTGACGAGGAAGCAAAGGAAGGTGGAATGGAAGACCACGGCAAAGAAATTGATGGCTCAGGGGACTGATGAAAGTGAGGAGGATATTGTCCTTGGAGAATGGCCAAGTGGGCCTGACTCAGAGCGAGACGCAACTTCTGGCAAACGCGAATGTTATAGCATCGATGAAAGTGATAAGACATGGTTTGTCTTTGAAAGTGATTTAGGGGAAGAGGAATTTTATGGTTTTGATTGACTTTGCAAACAGTTGATGTTCTTAAAACTTAATGCAGGTCACTATAACAGCATCTAATAAATCAATGTAGTATAATATATAAATTCGTTTAATTTTTGCATTAGTTACCAGTCTTTCCATGTCTTTCTGATTCAACAGAGACCTGGAACAGAGTATTGAATGACCTCTCAAATCATCTCGCAAACGTGTTCTCAACACATTTTAAACACAGGTTTGTAGAAACTTATTCCTTTAAAAAAATGTCGAACACTTTCAGGGAAAATTTTACTTCACAAGGAGTTCTATTTGGCGAGGTTGGAAAACTCCAAAGGTTCTTCCAAGTCATTGTATTTGATCCAGACATCGAAGCATACACTAGTTGCTCCAGTTGTGAATAAACATTCCATGATTTTCACAAGTTACTCACTTCAAATCAATGTCAAATTGAACGGGCTTTCGAAAATTTGACCACAAATACTGAACGGGCTACGAAAAAAACGTTGTGCTTTTGGGGTGGGCTTTAGAAAGAAAGAGGAAGGCTTTTATGTTTTTCCTGACCTGGTCATCCTTATAAATAATGAACCATCCCTAAATTGAAAATGCTTTGGCCTTTATGTAACCAGGGAATTAATCTGAAGACAGACTCCAAACCTCTGTATTACAGTTTACTGAAATAAAAATATACTCCTTCTATTTTAAAGTACAACAAAGACTAAAAGAAATTTAATATGCGTCGTTAACAACAACCACAGAAATTACACAAACAGGATATTCTAGAAAAACATCTTCATATGACTTGACCAATCTTTGTGTCCTATGGAATGCATACCATGAATTATTTGGTATCTTTGGGGATTTTTATGCTTAAGGAAAGCAGAACACAGAGGATCAGTCAACATGAAGTGTCACAGTTTGATTTATTAATACCACCTATCCCTTATTCATTTGGTCCAAATAATAATTAACAATCATTCCTCAAGATTGAATGGCTCTGAGTCAATAGCCCATGAGTTCAAGGCCATGAGAGCGAGAGGAATAATAGTTTTAGTAAAATTCAACTAGTTGGTCAAATGCTTTCACAATTGTGTATGTGAATAAGAAAGTCCTTAAGAAATCACAGCAGATAATTTTTTAACTAATGTGGAAATTGAATTGAACAACAAACTAAACAAGACTCTTATTGCATTCAACTATTATCTTCAAAATTGTTTAGGTACAAGTCGACTGCTATCTGTGAAGGGCAAGGAGAGACGGCTGTATTCAAAGGCAAAGATAATACGTGACAACACTCGACGTCCGTGTTAAGTGTAGAACTGTCAAGGACTGGAATGCATGACCAAGTGAAATTGTTAACATTAAGTCCGCACATCGATTCAAAAAAGTCTTATTTGAATATTTTAGTCAAGGATGAATTTTAAATATTACATAATGATTGATGCCGTGGAATTTTTATCCATTTTATCTTTTGTAGAAAATTTTTTCACGTCATTACTTTTAACTTTATTTCATTTTATTCAGTTCGTCATCTTGGGTGATGGCAACCCTGTTGCAAGACTACAAATCTTTGAATAAAGGTGACCAAAGGTCATTTAGATGCAATTATAGTAAAACATGAAAAGCTACGTTTAAAGCTTATTGAAGCCTTCAGATACAAAACAACGTAATAAGCTTGGAAACGTAAAAAATTTAAAAAACAGCAGATAGATATTTCTATCTGGGAAACCAAGTTCAGGTCCGTTGTTATTAGCATCTGATGGCCCCACATGAAGCCCGAAATTAAAGTGGTAGGACTCGGGATCATCTGTGTGTGTTTTCTCATCCGAGCAGCCAGCCGCTATCATTTCACTTTCACAACTGAATATATCCATAATGTATTGAAAACTTTCTTACCTTTAGTAACAAGACCTTGTCGCTTTGATCAAATCACACGAGGGAAGATAAAACCAAGAACTGAAGGATTCATAAATCACCTTCTGATGGCGGCCACTTTGATTTTCACACAAACTCGTCCCCAGGGTCTTCTCGCCAAATTGAAAAACCAGAAGACCCTGGGGGAGAGGTTGAGGAGTACAAAACCTCGTGGGGTGTGGGGACCTAGGCTAGACCAGTGTGGCCTGGGTGACGGGTTTTCCTTTTTTTGTTTGTTTGTTTGTTTAGGGATCAGTTTCTAATTGGAATGCGTTACCAAGCGAAATTGTAAACATTAAGTCCATATTTTACAATAATTTATGCTATGATATTATTATCCATTTATCTTTTGTAGGAAAATTTTCAGCTGCTATAATTATTTTTAACTTTATTTCATTTTATTTCGCTAGACGTCTTGCGTAATGGCACCTCTATTGCAAGACTATAAATTTTTAATAACGGCTAAGAAATTGGATAACTTTACTTTCAACACATTTACTTTTAGTTATCCTATCTTTCATGCACTAGTAAATCATTTTCCAAATATAAGAGCGATTCACGCAAAGATCGGAGTGCCAAAATAAAAATATCGCCAAGTCCAGGCAATAAACCGTTGAATGCTGCCGGATCTCTTTGTTGTAGTCCTGTATCAGTACAATGAAAACTTGTACCAAATCATAAACACGGCAAACCGATCCTTAAAACAAAAAATATATATATTGAAATATATTTGTCTACTTTTCGTTTTATTCTTTTGTTTACTTCTTCATTCCCGTTTTATAATTTTTTACAAGTGATTGGGGTGGTTATTAGACTGGGCTGGGTTCGTAACCCCCGCCCAAAGCGAGGAAAAGGAAAGGGCGCCCGAGGGCTTGACTTCTGATACTTCCGTGAGTTCCTGGCCTTCGACGGTAACACATTTTCAGAGACCCCATATTTTAAAATCTTTCAGGGGTGCATGCCCTACGACGATCGCGCCTTCGGCGCTCGCGATTAATCCCCCCCCCCATCCCAATACATCTAACCTTGCTACTGCACTGTTTTTCGCTGAAACGTTATTTCCATTAGTAGTGTCTCCGAGTAAGACGTTATAAGGGACCTTTATTTCTAAATGACTGACCCGCGCCTTTTAACACATGCCCAGAGGTATCTCAAACAAGGCAGAAATGTCGCCTGCGACAGGAGCCCATTAGAACGCTCTTGGCGCGAATTTAGAATACCGTAAAATTCCGAATATAAGCCCCCCAAACTCGTAGCCCCAAAACCCGTTCGTTATATCGCCCCTCCAAATATAGCCCCCCCGGGGGCTTGTACTAGCAAATTGCCCTCAAATTCAAGCAAAAACTGTAGAGTAACACAAAATTGTTTGCATTTGCCAAAGAATTATTACGTGTGCGAAATGCTTGCAGTCAAAATGTGTCACACTATATTGCTGTTTGCATAGTTCACTCTTAACTCTTGGATTGGATTTCCTCGTTCCATATAGACAAAGTAAAGGCATGGCTTAGTTTCAGTAAGATCTACGTTCTCAAGGCTAGTTTCTGCAAATTACTGATAAAGTTTCCTTCCAACCATAAGCTAGCCCAATCGATTTTGAGACGTAAATTTCGCCCCCTGTATAAGCCTGGCCGATTTTGAAACGCAAATTTCCCTCCGTATATAAGCCCCTCCGTATATAAGCCCCTCCGGATATAGGCCCCTCCAAAAATCTGCCCCTCAAAAAAGGGCTTTTTAAAAATATAAGCCCCGGGGCTTATTTTCAAAATTTTACGGTATCTTTAAAGTCACACAAAGCAGTCAGGAAAACATACAGCCCTAAAAATGATAACTTTTGCCTTTTAATGACGTTACGTTTTCCTCTTTGATAGCTTATACTACGAATGCGTTCATGGACGTGCAGGAGATTCCATTTTCGCGGGAAAAATTGCCTTTAAATGTGTCTAAAAATAAACCGGTCAGTAAAAACGCCGTGACATAGGCCTAGTATGGGGTTTGCACGCTCCGGGTTATGGACTCCTGCCTGCGATAAGGCTCTCATGTTTGGGCGAACGAAGCGAGCCGCGAGGGGGCACCCCCGCTTTCGCATCTCTTCTCGCGTGCCTCACGCGCGTCTACTTTTCACGATATCCCCAAATGAGCTTGCTCGCCAGCTAATCAGCAATCTCTTACATAAATCGCTTACATGCACTCAAAGCCGGTAATGATATTGGTCTTAGAACTTTACGAGGCTATAAAATGTACAACCTATAATTTCTATCAGTAGTTTTCATTTCAAAATGCAGCAAAAACGTCAGTTACTTAGCGAGCAGTTCAGTTCTCCACTACTACTTGCAGTAGCCTGCGTAGCAGGTAGTTGTTCGGTCTGTTTTTTGTTCCTGGTTGAGATACAGCGGCGCGAAAGATCTGAGGTCAGAGATGTCGAATGAGGCAGGAGGTTATTCTAAAACATTATCCTCAGCCACGCCCGTACCCAGCTTTTTTTCTGTGAGAGTGCGTTCCAACGAGAAGACGGACCAAAACGACTGTACGTGCACTTGTTTCTTGGAGGGGAGGGGGCGTTGGGACAACTAGATTTTCTGAGAGTACATTGCGAGCATTTTGAGGGCAGGCAGTATTAAGAAAAATCGAAACGTGGACAATTTGCAAAATATTGGACCTTCAAAGTTGATCATATGGCAAATAGACTACTTTATAATGGCACCACAATTTCAAAAGTAAAATTGAAAGAAAGTGGTACATCTGTTTATTCACAAAGTTTGCTGCTGATCATAATGATCTTTCAGTAGTGTTCCAAGTTGGGGGCTTCTTAGCAAACAGATGAACGATGCAGTAAAAAGTATGTTAGAAAGTACCCGGGAGGGGGTGGAAAAACCGCTTATATAAGCCATATAGCTATGTGCCGCCCCAAAGGGTATGGTTTCTGGACCTGTTTCCTCTGAAAACGGGTGTAAAGTTTTCTCTGGAATCGAGTATGGTTTTCGAGCGAACAATGGGAGCGTATAAACGTATTTTTCGTATCAATTTCAAATGAAAGAAAAAAATAGAAATATACGAATTCGAAATGCATTTGAATAAATTTTTGTTTACGCTCTGATCTAATGAACCATGACATAATTTCTGCCTAAAGGCAAGGTCTGAAACAGGTATGGATTTTAAAGTTCTGGTCTGAAAACGGGTGTAAAATGACATTTTTGGTCTGAAAATAGTGTCAGGATTTAGAGAACTGGGCGCCACAACAACAATTGCTAAGAGTACCCCCAAGGGATAGTACATGTAAGTTACATTTCTCTAGCTACGTGACACTAGATAGATGAGATGGGCCACTCCCGCTATGACGTCCGTGTCCAAATGCCCAGTAATCTCTAACTTGTTAATTTACCTTTAAGATTTTCAAATGAAAAAACCTCGGTTCTTATATAATTCTGCAGCCCAAATATTCACTAATGGCACTTTCAGTTTCTTTTCGAGGCAGTTTTAAAACAGAGTTATTCATGGATTGACACAATCTGCAGTGGCCTCTCTTCTTGCTTTCTTCGGCCCATTTTCGGGTGAACTATTTTAAGAACTGCTCAACCGTGGCAAAAACTTCAGAACGATTTCGAAATTACATAAACATTGTAGGCAAAGTGTCACTAATTCACTTTGTTTGAAATCATTGGTCAACAACTCTCCGGAGCCTGTGGGAAGGTGCAAGGTAATTTGATGCATCCCCTCCTCCTAGAGCCTACAGAATTCCCCATAGTTTTTGGTTTGATTAACTTAAGAATCATCTTCACAAACATGGGTCATGTGGTTTTCATAATGCTGAACGAGAAGAGCCTCACTACTCATCTCCTCTTGACAAATCCAGCAGCTGTAATTCTCAAAGATGACAAATTGTGCATCTGCTACATCAGCGTTTCCAGTCTCCCTCTGTATTTGAAGGTTGTTTGTAAAGCCTATGCCTCTGCTAACATAAACGTTTTTACCTTCCGCTCTCTTCCGCTTGCCAGATTCCAAACGTTTAGACAGACTTCTGTTTTTCCGGGAACATTTACATGACTCACCAAGGGTGTGGATTCTCTCATGCGTCCTCAGGTCTCCTGCTACACTGAAACGCTTGCTACACTGTTTACATTCATAAGGCTTTCCCCCAGTGTGAATTCTTTCATGACGCCTTAGGTGATCTGCTCGCCTATAACACTTGCCACACTGTTTACATTCATAAGGCTTTTCCCCAGTGTGAACTCTTTCATGACTTCTTAGGTATCCTGCTTGACTAAAATACTTGCCACACTGTTTACATTTGTAAGGCTTTTCCCCAGTGTGAATTCTTTCATGAAACCTTAGGGTTCCTGCTTGGCTAAAACACTTGCCACACTGTTTACATTCATAAGGCTTTTCCCCAGTGTGAACTCTTTTATGAATCCTTAGGTTTCCCGCTTCGCTAAAACACTTGCCACACTGTTTACATTCATAAGGCTTTTCCCCAGTGTGAATACTTTCATGACTCCTTAGGTTTCCTGCTTTGCTAAAACACTTGCCACATTGTTTACATTCGTAAGGCTTTTTGCCCAGTGTGAACTCTTTCATGACTTCTTAGGTCTCCTGCTTTGCTAAAATACTTGCCACACTGTTTACATTTGTAAGGCTTTTCCCCAGTGTGAATTCTTTCATGACTCCTTAGGTTTCCTGCTTGGCTAAAACACTTGCCACATTGTTTGCATTCGTAAGGCTTTTCCCCAGTGTGAACTCTTTCATGACTTCTTAGGTATCCTGCTTGACTGAAATACTTGCCACACTGTTTACATTTGTAAGGCTTTTCCCCAGTGTGAATTCTTTCATGAATCCTTAGGGTTCCTGCTTGGCTAAAACACTTGCCACACTGTTTACATTCATAAGGCTTTTTCCCAGTGTGAACTGCTTCATGAATCCTTAGGTGTCCTGCTCGGCCAAAACACTTGCCACATTGTTTACATTCATAAGGCTTTTCCCCAGTGTGAACTCTTTCATGAATTCTTAGGTGTCCAGCTTGGCTAAAACACTTGCCACATTGTTTACATTCATATGGCTTTTCCCCAGTGTGAACTCTTTCATGATTCCTTAGGTGTTCTGCTCGGCCAAAACACTTGCCACATTGTTTACAATCATAAGGCTTTTCCCCAGTGTGAACTCTTTCATGCTCCCTTAGGTTTTCTGCTAGACTAAAGCACTTGCTGCACTGCAGGCACTTAAAGGACATTGCGTTTGTTCTTCTTGAAACGTGTTATAGTTACGGTACCCTTTGGAAGGAAAAAAAACATTCTCAGGTAAATGCACAATCATATTCTGTTTGGTGCCCCAACTTTGTAGCAGGGGCTGCAAGATCTGATGGTTGTTAAGGAGATGTGAAAAATTAGAAAACTTTAAAGATACCTGCCTATGAAAAAGTGGTTTTAGACCTGTCATAAACTAACTACATACCTACATGTACAACTTAACATGACCCCTTCAAAATGGAGAATCCTTCAACAGGGTTAATTTAATAATTTGTTGACTTTGTATTTGGATCGGAAACTTCCCTGTTTTTTGTAAAATAACAGGCATTTATAAATGGTAATTAAGGCTCATCATGCAGCTTTAATACAGAAAATAGTGGAACCTGTATTACTGTAAATCCCTATAAACTCCCTTAGGGCTTATTTTGTTTAAAGGATGTTTAACAGAGAGTAAGGATTATTAATTGAGAGGGAGGGTTATTTAATTTAGTGAAATGCATCACCAAAAGTAAAGAAAAAAGAAAAAAAAAAGGCTAAAGAAATGGTTGCCTTTCGCCGATCAACAGCATCATCTAGGGTGAAAAAACGGTATTCAGCATGGTAATATACATGATGAAAAAATTGGTGTAAAGCAAAATGTGTGAAAAGCGTAATAATAGGGTGGAATGTACCAGAGGTATAAAAATAAAAACGTCAGTGAGTGCTTCTCTCGAAAGGCATAATGATAGTCTTTAAAACAAAATGTACACAAACTCGTTGCATTCCTCACGTTAGGTTAGGCCTGTCTCAATGTAAATCCATCTGAAAAAGAACACGCTGGTTGATAAAATCCCTCGAAAGACAAAAATAAATTCTGGTTCTGATAAACGTTTTGAGAGTATAAGCCTATTCACTGAACAGCTACCACTTCAAACTCAATTTACAAAGGAAAGAGAACACTGAAAACCAGCTGCAAGGAATAAGCTTGCTCCGACAAAAATTTGAGCTTACAACCCTATTCCTTGATCAGCTGTTGCTTTAATTGTAAAGTATAAAAGCAAACCTGAGCACTAATAGCTCTTTCAAACAAGAAATCCTATTAAAGCTTTCTCTCACATTAGATCTCCAGGAGCAGATAATGATCAGTTTTACACTGGATCACTTAATCTCGTACCAAGAGTTGTAAATAAAAGACCATGTCATGATTGCCCAAATATGGGGTCTTACTTACAATCAAATATGGTCAAAAATTCAAATTATAGAGGAAGACACAGAATTATAAATCTGCAGTTGCCTCATTGGCAATAACATACATTTTCAATATTGGTCATTAACGTTATCATGCAGCTTTAAATGTGGCAATAGAAATCCTCTATAAAGCTCCCTGGGGGCTTATGTTTTAAGCATGTTTAACAGACAGGGAGGGTTATTTGATAGGAAGGTTACTTAATTTAGTGAAATGCATTACCAAAAGCAAAGAAGAGGGAGAGGAAGAAGCAGACTTAAGTAATGGTTCCCTACTTCCTGTTCTGGAACTGGAACAAACAAACATTAAACAAACAGATGCCAGAAGATGATATCAATTCTGTATAAAACGAGTGGAATGCAAATTGGAAACACTTAAGCACATGAACTAAGTTGGAAGTTAAGCAGTTGAAGATCAAAAACAAATTGCAACTTCTAGCACATGAATAAGTTATACCAGATCAGCAGTGATTTTGTTACAAATAGTTATGGTACAGTGTACGTCCTGGGACTCATCTTGTAAGAAATCACGAGTCCAGTTCAAAACACAAAGAGATCTAAGGGATGGTTCATTATTTATGGGAATGACCAGGTCGGGAAAAAACTGAACGGGCCTTGAAGATTTTTCTTTCTGTGGCAACAGGCTTTGTGGTTTTTTTTTTTAACAAAGAGATTGGGCTGTAAAAAAAAAACAACTTATGCTAAAACTGTGGTAGAAACGCGACAGTTATTTGGTGAGACAATACACGGAAACTGTATTGGTATTGAAATACACCCAATAAATTGCGGTACAGGGAGAAAGTAGATGATGTGCCGGTGTTAAAGGATTTCACAACTGCTCTCCCTGCTGAAAAAATCAAAGCTGATAAGGAGTAATCTTAAGGAATACCAATCTGCGACTCAGAATAGGAAATCACGTGCCCCTGGAAGTGCGAACATTAAAAAAATTCTACAATTCACCAATGACCATTACAAAATTGGTGAGCTCTTTGTGGAGTATTTGTATGGTGACCGCTCTACCGTGCATGATCACTGAATGTTGTTCGTTTTGTTCCAACAAAGGATGGACAAGCCCTGTGCCCATGAAACATATTCCCAGCCTGTGCCAGATCCTGAAAATCCTACCCATTTTAAATCGGTCAATAAGACACCAACTACCATACAGAGCGGCAACCTCGGGTGCCAGATGATTTTCAACCACGTGTAAAAATAAAGAAAATGTTTAATGCAGGCATGTTATCAACAGAAGAAGAGATGCAGCAGTTTTCAGAGAATTTTGCCGTGAGGCGCACTTGATCAAGACATACATGTTTATTGCTCATCTAGAAGATCTCAAATAACAAGGCAGTATTTTTAAAAGAGAACAAGGGGCGCAAAGAACAAAAGCATAAATTGGCGTCCAAAACATTTAAAGAATATGCCTGGCACCATCTCGTGGAGTCTGGAGATTCACAAAAGTTGCTCGTGTTGAGCTCAATAAATAAAATTATCTTAAACATTACAAACTCATAAGCAACGGCACCAAAGCTGAAAAGATAAGGTGAACATTGTTGCGTGTGCTTCATGGTGAGGATGATCAATGGGAAGATATATATGAGTCTACTGACGAGGAAGCAAAGGAAGGTGGAGCGGAAGGCGGCGGCAAAAAAATTGATGGCTCAGGGGACTGATGAAAGTGAGGAGAATATTGTCCTTGGAGAATGGTCAAGTGGGCCTGACTCAGAGCGAGATGCAACTTCTGGCGATCGCGAATGTTATAGCATCGATGAAAGTGATAAGACATGGTTTGTCTTTGAAAGTGATTCAGGGGAAGAGGAATTTTATGGTTTTGATTGACTTTGC